GAACTCCTTGCCAGAGGAGGCTATGAAGGCTAGAACTATAACAGTGTTTGAAGAGAAGCTAGATAAATTCATGGAGGTTAGGTCCATAAAAGGCTATTAGCCCGGGGATAGGAATGGTATCCCTGGCCTCTGTCAGAGTCTGGAGACAGATAGCACGAGACAAATCGCTTGATCATTGTCTTCAGTCCACCCCCTCCGGGGAACCTAGCATTGGCCACTGTCGGCAGACAGGCTACTGGGCTAGATGGACCTTTGGTCTGACCCAGTACGGCCGTTCTTATGTTCTTATATGAGGAGTAAGGGACATTTCGGAACAGATCTTGTGTAGATAGCGCCAAAGTACGAAATAAGCTATTTTGAAATAGCATCAAAATAAGATACACAAATTTGTGTAGCTCAAATGGTGTCCCTTATTTTGAGTTCCGGTGCAGTGTAGACACACTCTTACTGACCAAACTCTCTGGTCAGGACCCGTCCACCAGAGTCCAGCACTTGCTTCCATTTTTCTCTTCTGGTGCAGTGAATGTAGTAGCTGGGCTGACGGTGGGGCTCCCTTACTATGTTTGTCCATCCTTCTTATAGTTTCAGGCCCTCCCTTGAAAACCACTTCCCACTGAGCACTAAATGACGAAGAGTCTGGGTGGAAGGATGTTCCCAGCTGCCTTTTTCACTTGTTAGAACTTTTTGTTTTCCTTCCCCGTTTGATGACTCTGTTTACTTACCCCTTCAATGCAAATGTAGGACAGACTGATGTTCCAGTTTCTGTCTGAGCAGTGCTGTGGGGTTTGGAACATGGGTTAATAACACCATACAGGGCAATCTTACCCACATATCTATGCTGACCTACAGACTGTGAGTTTTCAAATTGTTCATGACAGGCAGATGACTGGATTTGATGACGTCTCTAGCTCCTTTCCAGTTCCAGTGTTCTATGATTCTGTGCCTTATGCCAAATTTGTACAGTAGCATGAAGGGGTGAACGTGGGGACATACTCTGTCACATGGGGCACTGACACATCCCATTCATTGAGAAACCCTGGATGAAGGGATGCTGGTAAACAGCTGGAGGACTCACGGAGAAAGGGTGTGGTGCTGCAGAAAGGAGGTATTATGGCCCAGTGATGGAGCGGGAATGAGGAGAATCGGGTCTAACAACATCGGGAAAGTTTCTTCCCTTCTTGCTGCATTGATTTTTGTATTCTGTAAATTGGAGTCATAACGCTGATCCCTTTTGGAAGGAGCAAATGCTAAGAAACGGTGTCCAAGAGCGAACTATTCATGAAAGGGGGAAAATATGAAATGAATGGTTCTCATCCCTTCATTGTTCATTGTCTGGCTGGAGTCATTTCTGCATTCAAAGGCACGGGTGCAGTTTCAGTGAAATTTAAACAACAAAGTTCCTGCTTTCATCTGCTTCCTTATTATAGCCTGGGAAGATCTACTGAGCTCCAACATCCTTCATGCCTTCACTGGGACCATTCATCTCCACCGTCTGAGTCAACACTCAGTGGCCACGTGCAAGCAATCGGTGATCAGTTGATAAGGCCAGGCCTGCCATGTGTTCATGTGTAAACATGGGTTCCCTGGCTGGATGGCAAAAGTTGCACTGGGACATGAAGATGAAAGATGAACAAGGTTTGACCTGCTGTAGGTGTTCACTTGAAACCCGTCCCTGGGTGTGTGGATAATGCAGGTGCTTGTTACTTGTGTTTGCTGTCAAAAGGTCACGTTCATTCTTGGTGCCTTATTTAAGGGCGGGGGGTGGGTACACCAGAGGAACAGCTCTGTCTCTCGGTGCGAAGAAGCTGCTTCAGCTGAAATCCACAGGTGGAAACCTCAGACCTGCGAACTACAGGCCAGGTGAGTCCTGGCCTTGTCCTCAGGGGCTACACTGTGACGTGCGTGGAGGCTGTAATACGTTCCCTTGGAAAAGAGGAACGTTAACAAGCCCAGGATGTTTCTGGCTTCCTCGCACCTGTAAGATGAGGATAATGCTCCTAAGCTGCTATGAGATCTACTCATGAACAGCACTGGGCATTGCTATTGCTACATGGCATCCGCGTGATCCATCTAGCTCCCCGGCACACATGAGCCTCAATGGGTTTATCCTCAGAGCCCCCTGGGGAGGTAGGGATGGTTCTCGCCCTGTTGGACAGCTGGGGAGCTGAGCCCAGAGAGAGCACATCACCTGCCTAGTGAGTCCCTGGCAGAGGGGGGTTGAAGGCAGCTCTCCTGAATCAGAGGCTCAACCACAAGAGCCCCTCAACTAGCCTTTAGCCCTGGGTAGCTGTGCTGCAGGGCCCGTTGGCTGGTCGCAGGAGGCTGTACCCGTTCAGCGCACAGGCAGATACCGCGGCATGAGTGGAATGTGCTGATGTTAGTTCTGCTGCAAAGCCAGGAGAGAGACACCCAGAAAGGGTCTGAGACGGGCCACTGGGTACTGATCCCCTCCGTTCTCTGCTCTGGACCTGATGCAGGGCCAGTGGGTACTAATCTCCTCCGTTCTCTGCTCTGGACCTGATGCTAGGGAAGACTGGAGCCAGTGGCTGCATTCCTTTGACTTGAATGGCTTTAGGTGAGGCCCTCTGCTGCTTCAGTTTCCCCAGCTGTAAAATGGGTAAAATGAGACCTGTGTATTCCCCGGGATGATGTGAGGCTCAGTTAGCAGAGGGAGAGCAGGGAGAGGGCTCTCTGTGTGCACATGACACCACTTGGTTTCCTCCCAGAGCCCCATGCCAGCACCATGGTCCCCGGTTCTGCCCTCCCAGCCTGTCTCTCTGATCTTCCTACCCCACAAGCCCTTCACTGAGCCTTGAGTGGGCTCTGAAGTTGGAAACTGCTCTAAGGATGTCACTGCAAGGCCACCCCCTCCCCACTCAGGCAAACCCACTGAACTCAAGGGCTGGAGGGTGCTCGTGTCATGGGCAGGTTATGCAGAGAGCCAGCACAGCCCTGGGAGCAAGAGGGCTGGGGAGGAGCCCTGACACCCCCTAGCCTGGCTATTAACCAGCTGATCCCCTATTTTCCCTGCTGCAAAGTCAACAATGAAACAACTCGCTCTCCTGCTGCTCCTCTTCCCCCTGACCAGGGCGGCCCCTTGCGGTAAGTGTCTCTTTTTCCTTTCTTCTTCCGGGAAACCATTCTCCCAACCCTAAGGCAGCCTCCTGCCACCCAGAGCTCCCCCTGAGTCACTGCAAAGATTTTCTTCAGTCCAAGTTCCAGGGCCAAGATTTTCAAAGCTGGGTGCCTGAGGGAATTATTATTATTGTGGTAACACCTAGTCCTGGAGCACCACCACCCCGCACCAATGCTAGGCACTGTCGTTATCTATTAGGTGTATTACGGTAATGCTTTGGTCCTCCTGTTCAAGCCCTTTGTGCAACCCATCCCCTCTCCGCGATTCCCAAACTTACCTGGATCTCCCAATAGAGAGTTAGGGATGTGGAGTAGTTCGGAAATCTTCCTCTTCTTAGAAGCCTGAGTTCTGCTTCAAATACAGACAGGTGTGTGTCTGTGTGTGTGTGTGTGTGTCTGTGTGAGTGTGTGTGTGTGTCTGTGTGTGAGTGTGTGTGTGTGTGTCTATGTGTGACTGTGTGTGTCTTTTTGTGATTGCAGGGAGCGGGGAGGTTTGTGCATTTGTGATTCTCGGTGGCTGCGTGTGGCAACGTAAGGCTGCCTCTGGTTGTCCGTCTTGCTGTGTTTCTGTGTTGTGTACGACGGAAGGTGTCTGAGTGTTTTCCAGTGGTTGTGCTCAGTTGTGAGATTGTGTCCCTGTGCTTGTGTGGCTGGGTGGGCTGTTGGTGCAGGTACAGTCACTCCACCCAAGTCTTTCCCATGACTCGGGGACTGAGGGCTCTGCCAACCTGGCTCCCTACATAGTAACGGATGACAACTCCAAACCCGACCTATCCCTGCCATGCAGATGGGAGTGGAGGGGCGGCTGCGTTGAAACTCGCCATCACTGACCTGCTGGACCAGTGGAAGGACACGAACATCAGCCCGAGCCCCCAGGGCAACCAGAGCTCCCAGAGCCTGCTCCGCAGCTGCAAGCAAATTAAAGCCGCCCAGGTCGGAGCTCGAGGTGAGTCCGGAGGCGGCATCCCCAGACCCCAGTGGCTGCTTCAGACCCAGGGTCAAGTTCAGTCACAGCTGGCTCAAGTTGGGTCAATATTCCCTGGGCCATCTCTGTGCTGGGGCAGAGACACCTGCCTGCCCGTGGACATGGGGGGGAATCTCTTCACCAGGCCAGGCTCCTTCTGAGCACACCCGGGGGCTGGATCCTGTAGGGCTGGGACTGACGATGAGCTGGGGCCCTTTGGTTGGGGTTAAGCAGGGGGTGCGCTGTGCACGAAGCCCTGTGAAGGGGCCCCTCAGTTCTGGGCCAGCGCCCTGCTGCTTAGGCCCAGGCCCAGCAGCTGCTGGCAGAGAAAAGCTCACGGGGGCGCCTGCTGGTCTCCCCTCACAGAATTTGAGGCAGCAGTGACACAAAACCCCTTTGCCAGAGCAGGTCTCTGAAATCTCCCCTTCTGCTGCTCTTGGGCTGAGCCCCTCAGCACCAGCGCTTGTCCAGGCCGGGAGGGTGCTCAGCACCTTTGACAATGAGGTGTAGCCAGTGGGTGGCAGATTCTGTCCCTGGCTCTGTCCCACCCGTCGTGCGGCCCCCCAGATCGAGTCAGCGCAGGCTGCGGCCCAGAGAGGGACACAGGGCGGGGACACAGGCAGCAGGAGGGGCAGGGGGATCCAAACAAGCCCTGGGGCCTTTCCATGGTACAAATTGCCCTCGGCCTGATTCTCGGTTGCACTTAGGCCTGGTCTGCGCACGGCGACTGTCCCGGTGTCACTGGGCGGGGTCAGGGGAAGGTTTCCTTGCCACACGGATACCAATCCAGCCCCAGTGTGATCCCAGCTACACTGGGACAAAGGTGCCTGAGACAGGGGCAGCTACAGTGTGATCCCAGCTACTGAGACAGGGGCAGCCTCGTCCCCTTCCCCTTGTGGCAATGGCCATCCCAGTACACGGCCCATTCAAACCAGTCTCAGCTGCGTTTGCACTGGGGGGCTGTGGTGCTTTAACAGCCCCGGTATCATTAAGGTGCCACAGATTGTGTGTGGAAAGGCTCAGGCCCTGACGCCCCGTCCTGGGGGAGTCCCTGTGATTACACTGGCTCTCTGCTGCCAAGGGGGCTTACGTCAGCCCCCTGCCTCTCCGCCTGGCCGCCCTGGGGGCCGTGAAGGAGCCGCGGCGGCGCCCCAGCACCGGCGTGCCCCGCCGCATCTGGCGTCTGGACACCAGCAGCGACTGGTGGGACCACATCGTCCTGGAGCGCTGGGAAGACCGACAGTGGACCCAGAACTTCAGGATGAGGAGGGACACCTTCCTGGAGCTCCCTGGTGGCCAGCATGCACGAGAACAACATCTACGGGAAGTGCACGGAGGGCGACCGCTGGTCCAGCCAGCAGGGGAGCAACGCCAACTACCCCAAGGGAGAGGGCAACTGGGCCAATTACACCACCTTCGGCTCCGCGGTGGGCGCCACCAGCGACGACTACAAGGTGGGCCCCTCCCCCATGGCCATGGCTGGGGAGAGGGTACCTCAGAATGTGGTTGAATGCACGTGGGCCGGTGGGGGACATAGGAATGGGGGTTGGATGGGAGGGAGGGCCCAGGGGTGAAGGCGCTAGCGTAGGGATTGGCTGTCCTGGATTCTCTTCCCCACCTTGTCACAGGCCCCGTACGTGATCGAGGGCAACTCCCCAACTCTGTCCGTCACTTTACCTCCCCTCCCGCCATACAATGGGGATGCTGCTTCTCTGCCTTGCAGAGTGAATGACGGGATAAATACACCACAGCTGGTGAGGTGCCCAGACGTGTGGGGGATGTGGGAGGTGGCTGGGTAAGTAGCCAGGCTGTGGCTGAGGTTTCAGCAGGGTCTTCCGTCACTTTACCTCCCCTCCCGCCATACAATGGGGATGCTGCTTCTCTGCCTTGCAGGGTAGGTGACGGGATAAATACACCACAGCTGGTGAGGTGCCCAGATGTGTGGAGGATGTGGGAGGTGGCTGGGTAAGTTGCCGGGCTGTGGCTGAGGTTTCAGCAGGGTCTTTGCTTTTCAGAACCCTGGTTATTATGACCTGCAAGCCCAGGACCTGTCCGTGTGGCACGTAACCAACAAGGCGCCCCTGGCGGAATGGAAGACCAGGTCCATCCTGCGGTACCACACCAGGACTGGTTTCCTGTCATCCGAGGGAGGGAACCTCTTCAAACTCTACCAGGTGTGGGTGCTGGGCTGGGGGCTGTGGAGGAGCGTGTGGAGGAGGGACTGGGTGGCTCTGCTGGCCCCTGTGTACATGGGGGAGCTGGGATGGATAAATCCTCAACACGGTACAGATGCTCCAGGCCGGGGGCTCAGGAGCTGATAATGGGACATGGAGCCTTCCCCTGCATGCAGCCCATTGGAATCTGACCATGACCTCGCTGTGAGATGATCTGGCTGGTCTCACCCAATTGCTGGTGTGCAAATCCCAACCCAGCCACCCCCATGGCACTGATGTGCTGGCAGACTCAGCAGAGAGGCTGAACGGCCCATGGAGACCGACTCTATCCCCGGCCCTGGAGATGGAAGGCTGCTGGACAGAGATGCTTTGGAGTTAAGCCAAGCCCTTGAGCCACCTGTGAGCCCCGGCTTCGGGCATTAGGCATCCTGACAAGATCATCTCAGGATGAGGGCCGGGGAGAAACATTGCCAGACACGTGCTGGCCCCACACAGAACCACGGCGCTAGGTGCTGCACGGTCCTAGAAGAGAACAACAGTCCCTGCCCCAGTCTCGGAAGAATCCAGCCCACATGGCATCTTGACAAGCCAGATTCCTCTGCCCACCACTAGGGTCACACTTACTGGTATGTGGCTGGCACCGGAAGTGGCATTGACTGTATAAATCACCCAGTAAGGAGATCTTAATCAACGCTGCCCTGTCTGCGCTTGAGCTTCCCTGCCATAGAGACAGAAACTAACCTTGGCTGCTCGCTGCACTTGTCTTTCAGAAATACCCAGTGAAATACGGTGCCGGCAACTGCCTGACCAACAATGGCCCCTCCATGCCCATTGTCTGTGACTATGGTGATGCCCAGCAAACTACCAGCTACTACTCTCCAAGGGTATGTCTACACTACAAAGTTAGTTCGAACTAACTTAGTTCGAATTAGTTAATTCGAACTAAGTTAGTTTGAACTAACGCATCTAGAACTAAAAACTAGTTCGAACTAGCGTTTTGCTAGTTCGAACTAGTAAGTCCACATTGAGTGGACTCTGAACAGGGCTTAAGGATGGCCGGAAGCAGTGCTGGCAGGTGCCTGTCATCTATGACTACGGCGATGCCCAGCAAACTGCCAGTTACTACTCTCCAAGTGGCAGACGTAAGTTTGGGTAGCGAGTGCCACGTGTTTTCCCTTCCCACCCTCATAGATCAACCTTGTCCTCCCACTCTGAGTTATCTTTGTTTTAAATAGAGGGAAAACAAATGGAAAATCCTCAGGAGAGAGCACGGTGTGTGTTCTCCACTTTCACATGCTACCTGGCAACACAACACAAAAGGGCTCTGGTTTAGTCTGAGACAAATAGGATGAAATTCAATAAGGACAAATGCAAAGTGCTCCACTTAAGGAGGAACAACCATGCATACAGAATGGGATGGCACTGTCTAGGAAGAAGTACTGCAGAAAGGGATGTAGGGGCATAGTGGATCACAAGCTAAACAGACAATCATCAAGCGATCCGTCCCGTTTTCCAGCCTGCAATCGCCAGGATCGCGTATGGAGACTTTAAAAATTGGTGTCACATTAGCTATAGTCCAGGCTTCCGGTACAGACACTGATGTATGGGATGGGTTACAAAGCACAGCTGGTGGTTCTACAGTTTCACATCTGGGTTCCTTCAGAACTCTTGGGCGATGCCATCTGGCCCTGGTGACTTATTCCTGGTTAGTTTGTCAGATTGTTCCAAAATCTTCTCTTCTGACACCTCAATCTGGAACAGTTCCTCAGATCTGTCACGTAAAAAAAAATGGCTCAGGTTTGGGAACCTCCCTCAAGTCCTCAGCCGTGAAGACTGATGCAAAGAATTCATTTAGTCTCATGACAACCTAATCAAGTGTTCCTGATCCTTAACCATTCCTAGTTCTCCTACATGGACTTACCAAAAGGGCCTGGCTGGGATCCCTTCTCTCCACCTGCTCATGGCAAACAACCATCCTGACCTCCCCTTTTCTGTCACCAGCTGAATTCGTTCCTGGCTACGTCCACTTCCGGGTGTTTAATCGTGAGAAGGCGGCCATGGCTCTGTGTGCTGGGGTGAAAGTCACCGGCTGTAACACTGAGCATGTGAGTATCTGGCAGGAGAGGGGTGAGGGTTGGAGTAGGGACAAGCCGAGAGCTGGAGTAGAGGAAATAATTTGAAACAAATGTTTTTGGGAGATCAACCCACAATGGATACAACCCCCCAAAAAGTTGTGGCAGGTCAGACACAATGTTTTGTTGGACTGAAAACAACTTGGTGTCTTTCAATCTGTGTAGATTCTTGCATTAGTACCCTTCCTCTCTGCCATCTTCTGATCCTTATCTGCTTCTTTTTTCTATTCAATCTTTAGGTACTTAGAGATTACCAGATCTGCCTCTTTGGTTTTCCTTTTGATAGGTTCATACGCTCTGTTCCTTGTTTCCCGCCCCCTTCCATTTTTTTCCTCCCCCCTTGTTCATTTTGGGTCTGCACATCCTAAACTCAAAACTCTGGTCATCTGAAGAAGTGGGCTATGCCCACGAAAGCTCATACCACCATCTACACGTTTTGTTAGACAGTGAAACTTGGCTGGCTATATAAGGCCTCTCTTACCTCTCACACTGGTGCAGGGGAGATTCAGTTTATGGCCAGTGTGCCAGCAGGGACAAGCTGTGCTTGTGGAAGCAGTCTTCCCCAAGAGTAGGCCAGGGGGTTCTAATGTTATTTGTGTCCTTTGGGGATATCAGGGGAAAGCCAGCTCCTATGAACCCTGATGTCAGAAGATGCTGCTGTGGGTGTGTGCACCCTGAGTTAGTGTATTGTGTTGTGCCCTAGCACCTCTGTCCAGGCTGCAGCAAGAAGTCCTGGTTATGAGCCACATTTCCCCTCGGGGAGGATGGAAGAGTATTGAGGGGAAAATCAGGCCTGCAGAGTGTATGAATGTGAAACCTGAGACCTCATTTCAGTCGCAGGGGAAAAGGGCCTTTCTAATGGGCAAACTAGAAGCAGGAGCTTGGGGGGCTGAGTTGAATCCAGATAATGCAGTTCAAAGAGAGGGAAAAACCTGGCCTTTCCCTGACTACCCATTTCATTGGTCTGTGTTTATCCTCTGAGCAGGATTCCAACAAGGACAGGCTAGGTCGGAGGACAGAAAGAGTTATCACACTGTGATCTTTGGACAACTGACTGTCTCATGGGGTCCTGGCTGGGGCCTCTAGGCACTACTGTAATAATCCTGACAAGTCAGGTCCAGCATCTAGCACCAGGGATACTGTACCAGGGCTGGGGGTGCCAAAGCTCAAAGCAAACAAGCACTAAAAATAAAATCCCAAGGGCTCAAAGTCTCCTGGCCCTTGTGCAGGTGTTCAGACCAGAGCTGAAGGAGCGTCAAACGCAGGCAGCTGGGGGCCTTTTTGTACCACTGTAACCAACTGCCCCAGAGCCAGGGCAAGGGAGACTCAGGTCCCAAGAGTTGGGGATTTAAATCCTCATGCTTCAGGACACAAGCTGAGTTCTGACTGTGGAAGGTCAGGAGGTAATTTGCTGGTGTTCGGCAAATTTATTGCCAGCTGGTTATTGTAGGGTTTCTTGTGCCTTCTCCTGAGTAGGTGGCACCGGCCTGGAGACAGGAGAGCAGCTAGATGGGTCCCTGTTCTGCTCCTCTGGCAATTCCTCTGTTCTCTCCCCAGCACTGCATAGGTGGAGGAGGGTTCTTCCCAGAAGGGAACCCAGTGCAGTGCGGCGATTTCACTGCCTTAGCCTGGGACGGCTACGGAACCCATCGGGGCTGGAGCACATCCAAGGAGATGCTTGAATCCGCAGTGCTGCTCTTCTACCGCTGAGTCCGGAAAGGCCGACGTGCCGCAGTGAAGGATGCTGCTTCCTTCCAGCCAGCAGCGCTTGCTGGCTTTGAACTCAGATGTCTGCCATGCAAATAAAGAATCTGAAGCAGGCTGGGGTGTCAGTGATTTACTCCCCTTGCGACCTAGAAAAATAGGCTCTGTAGAGTGGCCTAGAGTATAGGTAGGGCAGCTGCCTGGGGGCTACAGGGTGGTGGGGTTTGAGTCCCTATGTCCATACTGGGAACAGCTGGATAGCTAACACAGAAGAGGCTGTGGGGGTCTAAGCAGCAGGCAGAAGTAGATGTGTCTCTCATTCAATTATAATTAGCAGTGATAGGAGCACTGGATGTTATTGGTGGATGAAGATCATTACATTTTACAAAGCATGGCAGTAGCATTGTTTCCATTTTTGATGGGGAAACTGAGGCACTGAGCAGCAAAATGATTTGCCCAAGGTCATCCAGCAGGTCAGTAGCAGAGTGGGGAATAGAATGCAGGTCTCCTGAGTCTAGTCCATTTGGCCCCTGTGGCTAGGATCTGCTATTATTAATAGTCCCCAACACTGCCCATGCTAACACTCCTTCATTGCATGTAATTTTGCCTTTTTAGTTGGAATGTCCCTCACAGCTGTATGCCTCTGGCTGAATTTTTTTTTAACTTACCCAAAAGGGCTCAATTGTTATTCAGATCAGTGTTTTGTCCATGTTAAAAAAAAGTCCAGTGACCTTGCCTTAGAAATCTGTACTCCCCTGCTCCCTTGACACACTGGAGTAGGGACTTGAAATTTCTGCCCCCCAAAAAGACCAGCCTAGCAGAAGGTGTTGGGATCTTACAATATCAGGCTGTGCTTTCAGGATTTTCTTAAATTGACACTGCCCCAGATAATCCTTTTCTGCTTCTATCACTTTGCAGCTAGAACATGAAACCAAAAAGTGTGAAAAGTCTCAGAGGGGGAGCTGTTAGCCAGTATCTGCAAAAACAAGGAGAAGTCTCATGGCTCCTTAGAGACTGAGGGTCCGTCTACACTACAAGCTTATTTTGAAACAAGCTATTCTGCTATCTCGATTTAGGGCTCCAGGAGGCACCGGGAAGGAATAACTTAGAATGGCCTCGGTGAGGGGCTATTTTGAAATAGCTGCAGTAGAGAGTCTACACAGGCCTCATTTTGAAATAGCTATTTTGGAATAGTCTCCTATAGACAACCACCTAACCTCAAGATGATTCTTACCAACAGCCACAGGACATACCACACTAATACCAACCCTGGTACCTTCTCTTGCAACAAACCCCATTGTCAGCTTTGTCCACATATTCACTCTGCTGATACCATTATTGGACCTAACCAACCCTCCCCCTCAGTGTGCGGAAATGGAGTTCAAACGGGGCCTGGTATCACGGGGAAGAAGCATCTCCTTTCTCCTGGACTGGATTTTCTCTCTGGTGCCTCACAGCCAAACCAGAAGCCCAGGGAGAGATGAGCAAGTCCCTCGACCCTTCATCCCAATGCCCCTAAGTCAGGGGTGGGGAACTTTTTCGGGTTGCGGAGCCGCTGATCCGCAGAAAAAAAATCAGTCGGGGACCACACTCAAGTGAGAAGCAAGTCGGGGAGTAAAGTGAGGCAGCCCCCAACTGAAGAGAAAGACATTCTCCACATTCCCTGCACACACCAGA